GTCAGTATAGTGTGGAAATTGTCAGTTCATCTGAGGCTTTTCTAAGCAGTTATTCTCACAGATGAAGAGCGTTTAAGAGAAAAAAAACAGTATATGGCACATCTTAGAGTTACAGATAAAGGAATGAAAAATATCTTCCCCAGTGTTTATAAAAGCCTATACCCTAGATTTTATTTTTTATTTTGTTGAAACTACACAATGACCTACATCTCGGTGGAGGAAGCATAAGTCCAGGGTTTTAGAAGATAAAGGATTGACTGACCTTTGTGCTTGGTGCAAATGTCAGTGGAGATTTAACTGTGTTGGTATTTTTGTTATGATTGTTACTTTTTTTTTTTTTTAAGTGCTCTGGTTCTTAGGTTTTAAAAATTTTTGTCCTGTTTTTCCGTAGACACTATTATTTTCAAGTGTGTAATTTTGCAGAATGTGTTTTCCGCAATGTGGTAGATGTTAATTAACTTAAAAACACCAGACCATAACAAGTAAGTGTAAGCAGATATCGGCTGCAACCATGTGAGCGCAGTAGTTCATAACCCAGGGCAGTTTTGTCTTCCGTGGGACATTAGACAATGTCTGTAGACATTTTTGGTTGCCACACCTGGGTGGAGCGGGAGATGCTACTGGCTTCTAGTGGGTGGAGATCAGGACTGCTGCTGAGCATAGTACAATGCACAGGACAGCCCCCATGACAAGGAGTTGTTGGCCCAAAGTGTCAACAGTGCACACTGTGTACAGAGGAACCCTACTGTAAAGGGTTTTGGGGACATAGTAAGCACTAAATAAATGTTAGTTAATATTTACATAGTTATAGTAATATTTAAATTTTCAAATATGAATTATATTACCTGGTCTATTTCTGTGGTTTTGATTCTGTTTATTTTTGTGCCAGTACCACATTGTTTGATTACTGTTGCTATATATTATAATCCCACCCAGTTTGGAGGATCCTCTTATATTACTCTTTTAATAATGGTAATATTCTTTGATTTGTAGAGATTAATATTTGAATTATTTTGTGGGCTTTCAGAACTAAATTTTGTTAAATTTAACCTCAAGTACTTGTACAAAAATGACAGCCTTAAGATTTTAAAATCTTCTTTATTTAAGTCATGTTATGTTCTCTGAAAGTTTTGTAATTTCTTTATATAAACATACTTCCAATTTTGTTTCTTAGTATTTTATATTTTTGTTGCCATAATATATGTGATTTTTTTTTTTTTACATTTTTGTTTTCATTCTCTTTGGAATGCCATTGGGTTTTATATATTCATTTTTTATTGTGCCTTTCTTGTAATTTATTTTTAAAATCTATTTTTATTGAGATATAATTGCCATATAACACTGGGTATGTTTAATTTGTTGATTTGATTACATTTAGGTATTGCAGGTTGGTTACCACCATAGCATTAGCTATCTATTGTGTCATAATTATCACTTCTTTATTGTGGTGGGAACAAAGATCTAGTCTCTTATCAACTTTGAAGTTTATAATAACAGTATTGTCTGTAATCACTGTGCTGTGCATTAGATCTCCAGAACTTACTTACCTAGCAGTTGGAGCAACCCTTAAACAACCTCTCCCCATCCCCCTCCACCCCACCCCCTTTCCAGCCCCTGGTAACCACCATTCTGCTCTGTTTTAATGAGTTTGGCTTTTTAAGATTCCACATAAAGTGATATCATACAGTATTTGTTTCTAGTAACCTATTATCCTTTGATGCATCACTTAAAACATTGCCCAGAACTTTCAGAACATTAATAAAAATGGTGATAAATGGCAGCCTTCTGTGTTTCTGAATTAAATATAATATACTCTGATGGTTGTTACAGAGAAAATGAATTATATTTAGAACAAAGAATATTTCTAGTTGTCCAGCAAAGGGTCTATAGGATGACAGATCCATCCAGCCCTAGTTCTTCAGTCTTTGAACAATGGTCTGTGCTCTTTGAGGGTATACTGAAGAAGTACTTTGCCATTATTTTCTAGAAATCTTAAAGTATAGCTGAAGGATTAGGGCTAACACATATAAAATCATTGTTGAATCTACATTTCTTCAAAATGATGAAGAGGAACGTATGAAGCAAAAAATTGGATGCTATATATAATCGTGTAAGTAGTTGGTAAATACATTTGGTAGGAATTCACAGAGAGAGAGAGCTTCATGGGCTGGTGTGGGACTAGAGCAGATTGTAATTGCCCAGATTATCATAAATGGAGGAGGAAAGTGAGATTATTGCAGTGACTGGAATGAACATGACCAGAGCCTAGAATTCTTCTTGGTTCAGTCTTTGGCTCATACATTTCCCAAGACCATTCTACAGAGTGCTGACAGCTTAGTTGAGGCTTTCATTATACAGATTCCAGAGCTTCTTAAAAGTTTTTCCCTTGTGAAAAAGTGATTAAATTGATATAAATGTAATTATATGATATGATGAATCCAAAATGGGGAATTCCCTAGAGTGACTGTTTGAATAGAACATTCTGTATTCTTTTTATGTTCTTGTTATTTTTGTTCTCATCCCATGATATTGTATGTTTTAGTTGTTAGTAGAAATGCATTCAGGAGTGTTTTATTGTTTATAGCAAATTTATTTAGCATTCTTATACTGAATTATCTTTCCTCTGTATGCTGCAGAATGTATGGATAGGATTGAAGTTTATCAATTTAACTGACTTAAATTTGAAAAGTAAATATCAGTTTTACCCTTACATTCTAGAATATATAATAGAAGGGGCTTAATACTGAATAGCATCATCATTTCATCTTGTATTATTTAAAAATGCAGATAATTATTATTATATTTCTTTTCTATTTTACTATTTATCCTACTTAACATGTATTTCTTGGAGATACTGGGGAGTATAATTGTGTCATTTTCCTTTCAAAAGTTTCAGTTTGCAGTTTACAAACGTTTGGGTTTGTAAATGGTTTTTAAAAATGAACCAATTGAATCTTTTTTTTAACATCTTTATTGGAGTATAATTGCTTTACAATGGTGTGTTAGTTTCTGCTGTATAACAAAGTGAATCAGCTATACATATACATATATCCCCATATCTCCTCCCTCTTGCGTCTCCCTCCCATCCTCCCTATCCCACCCCTCTAGGTGGTCACATGCATTGTAAGCAAGAACAATGGAAAACGAAATCCTTTTAAACACTTGATATGTCTTTGGACTAGTACTCACTCTGGGCTGCTTGTGCTTCTTTATGTTGGGGGTGGCAGTTGACTTTTTCGTTACCTACCTGTCTTTGAACAAGGAGCAGGATGGGCAGGCCCCCTACCTGACGGCAGTGGCTGACTTAGGAGACTGCAGTTGGGCTGGCCGGTTCTGCCCTCCCGCTTTCTCCTTTTGAGCCTCAGTACCTGCTTGCTCCCATTCTAGGAGGGAACACATTAATAAGCCTATAGCCTGGATTCATCAGTCACCAAGGGATGTTCAGCCTCCTAGTATGTCAGTCAGTGCAAGAATCTCTGCCTGATATTGTAGATGCAGTGATCAAAACCAAAACATAGCCCAAACCAATTCCTAGCCTGATAGGAAATTCATAGCTGTAAATTGGAATCCAATCAACTCCCAAGTCTGTTTTCCATTACCATCTTTTATCCTAACATTGAGTCTTGCCTGATGGTTATATCTCCTCTTGAGACGTTCCTAAAACAAAGCATCCTGTATTATCCTCAGTCTTTTCCTCAACCTCTCGATTGTTTCCTTCTTTCTGTTAATGCCAACACTATCTATGTAGTTCTCAAGACTGGAAACCTACCCATTATACCAGTCTGTCTCTGTCATTTCTAAATATTCTCTCTTAGCTCTTTATTGTCACTGTCAATACCATGTCTCCCTGTCTGTATCATGTATCTCTGTAGAGAAAATTATTCCATTGCTAAGTGTTGGATGTGAAATTTGTTTCTGGTTTTGTCACTCTACTGCTAAAAAGGCAAGGGCTTATTACCTCCAAATAAAAATCTATTCAGAAAATCTGTGCAGAATCTTCAGTAATATTTTCATAACCCACTTCTTTTAGCTATCTATTCTCATTCCCCTTGACGTACTCCTGACAAAATTAGCTACTTTTCTACCACATCTTAAAGCCCCATGACTTTGTTCACATTCTCATTTCTTTTTTTTAAAATTTTAATCAATTCTTTTATTATTTACAACAGTCTTTTGATAATTTCTGCCAAATTTGTTCTGATATATTCTTTTTTTTAACATCTTTATTGCAGTATAATTGCTTTATGATGGTGTGTTAGTTTCTGCTTTATAACAAAGTGAATCAGTTATACATATACATATGTCCCCATATCTCTTCCCTCTTGCGTCTCCCTCCCTCCCACCCTCCTTATCCCACCCCTCTAGGTGGTCACAAAAAAATATGGAACGCTTCACGAATTTGCGTGTTGTCATCCTTGCGCAGGGGCCATGCTAATCTTCTCTGTATCGTTCCAACTTTAGTGTATGTGCTGCCAAAGTGAGCACCATTCTCATTTCTTACTTTAAGTTCTCTCCCCCTGCCAGTGCATTCATACCCTTCAGTTCTTAGCAGGAATGCCACCTCGTGCATGACATCCTTCCCTAACTAGCCTGAAATGATTTCTCTAATCTTCAGGATCTTATGGTCATATCTATACGTCTCTGTGACATCTGTTTCTTTTCATGTGTATCATAGTTATTTATGAGTAAGTTTTATCATAACTTGAGCATCTTTCTTTTCTGTCTCTGTATCCCTTAGTGAGGCTTGGGGCCTCACGCATACAAATACACAGGAAAGACATGTTAATGACTAAGTGAAGACATCATATGGTCGGTTTGGCTGTGTTATCATCAGCGTTCACTTTACAGAGTGTTCTACATCTGCTGTCTGATAGAATGTATGCAAACCATGTACATTTACCTTATACTTTTAATGCTTTGGTGACCTCAGTCATCAATCATATGTGACAATGTATGTGCCTTGTGAGTAACAAGACTCCATTTTCTTTGTTCTTGGACAGGAGAATCAGATGAGAGGGAACAGTCAAAATTGGAAGTGAAAGTTTGGGACCCAAATAGCCCACTTACAGATCGACAGATTGACCAATTTTTAGTTGTAGCACGGTGAGTATGGCACTGTGGAGTCAAGAGATGTCTTTTCTTTTTATAAAAGAATTTATAGAAATTTTATGAATTTTCCTTTTTTTGTGTTCTATTTTTCATTGGTTGTGTTTTTCTTTTTCTAACTGTGTAAGAAAGTCGAATATATATCACACCTCTTCCTAAATAATATGGTTTATTATCATTAGTTTCTGTTTTAAAAATGAAAATAGATTTATTAATTTTTACTGATTAAGAAAATAAATGCTCCTTGTAAAAAATGTAAGCACTACAGAAAAGTATAAAGTAGAAACTCAACACCCGAAATCCCATATCTTTAATTAAAGCAGTGATCTCCTTTAAGCTAGTCAGGGATTATTCAAGTGTCAGTAATATTGTGCTCCTCTAATTGCACCCACGTGTGAGTAATGTCTGTTGGCTAGGTGTAAGTCTGTCCTTTGAGAGTTCTAAGCCTGGCTCCCTAGCTGCCTTGCCCACCGCCTCACCCCCCCCAACCCCTTTTCTTGAGAAAATGAGTGGACAGAAGTTTATTTTTATTTTTTGAATTATAAAAGTAAGTCATGTTCATGGGGGAATTGCTGCAAAGTAAGTGAGATTATCATAGCATTGTAATAGCAGAAAAATTGGAAAAAACCTAAAAGTACATCAGCAAGCAGTTGATGAATGAATTGAGGTATATTTAGTAATGGAGTATTACTTTACAATGAAAATGAATGAATTAGGGCTATATGTAGCAAAGAGATAAACCTCAAAAACAGTGTTGAGTAAGAATACATACAGTATGGTCACTGATAAAAACATTTTACAATGTGCAAACAATTGTCTTATTTCATTAATGGGCATATGTATGCATATGCATATTATACATATATGTATGAGTTCTGGGAATGTGTATTGATAAAATTTATTTCCTTAAAAAAATGAACCAAGAGACTTCCTGGGTCCAGTGGTAAAGAATGCGCCTTCCCATGCAAGGGACGTGGGTTTGATCCTGCTCGGGGAACTGAGATCCCGCATGCCACGGGGCAGCTAAGCCCGAACGCCCCACAACTAATGAGCCCATGCACCTCAACTAGAGAGTCTGCGTGCCTCAAACTACAGAGCCCGTGTGCTCTGGAGCCATGTGCCACAGCTAGAGAGAAGTCCGTGCACCGCAACAAATAGCCTGTGAGCCGCAACAAAAGATCCCTTGTGCCACAACTAAGATCTGATGCAGCCAAAAAAAAAAAAGAAAAAAACAAATGTGGCAAAATGTGATTCAGTATTTTTATAGATTATACTCCATTTAAAGTTATTACAAAATAATGGCTATATTGCCCTGTGCTGTACAATATATACTTGTTGCTTCAAACATGGCAAAATATTAGAATGAGGTAGATTTGGACATGATTACAAGCATCTTCATTATATTCTCTAATTTTTTGTCGAATGTTTTTTATAATACAAAGGACAAAAGGGTCTTAGCCCATCCTTAGCACTGTTCATAGTGCCAGTCACCATGGAAGTCATACATTGTATCGGTGGGTAGGCATTTAGACTACAGAGCCCACACGCCTAGCCACTAACTGCTTAGATGAAGAGACTTGATATATATATACATTGTTGGGGAGGAGCCAGTCAGTGGAATAGAGGAGACTGAAGATTTGGGAGTGGAAATGAATCACTGGTGGAACTGCTGCCCTAGAGACTCCAGACAGGTTATCTGGATTTTGTATTATTTAGTAGATTTTGCAGTTTCAGATTTGATTTTCATCGTTTTTTTCCTTTTCCTGATTACGACGGGCCATGTTTTCTTTTTTCTTGAAGCCAGCATGAGAGGCACCAATGAGAAGCACCTAGTATCTTTTTCAATTTTTGTTTTTTTAAAAAAAATCTAAATACAAATTAAACCCAGTTAAGCACCACTGCACATCCCACCAGAATGGTTAAAATTTAAAAGACTGGGCTTCCCTGGTGGCACAGTGGTTACGAATCCGCCTGCCAGTGCAGGGGACACAGGTTCGAGCCCTGGTCCGGGAAGATCCCACATGCCTCTCAGCAACTAAGCCCCATGTGCCACAGCTGCTGAGCCTGTGCTCTAGAGCCTGTGAGCCACAGCTACTGAGCCTGCATGCCACAACTACTGAAGCCCATGCGCCTAGATCCCATGCTCTGCAACAAGAAGCGACTGTGGTGAGAAGCCCACGTGCAGCAGCGAAGACCCAACGCAGCCAAAAATAAAATAAATAATAAAAACATTAAAAAAAAAATTTAAAAGGCTGACAGTGCCAAGCACTGGTGAAGATGTGGGACAACCAGCACTCTCATATTCTGCTGGTTGTAGTGCAAGTTGGTACAGCTGCTTTAGAAAACTGTTTGCTGTCATCTAACACACATATCCCTTAAGTTTCACTCCTAAATATATATGCAGCAGAAATGCATACACCTGTGTGCCAAAAAGATACATATACAGATGGCAGTAATGGCACTATCCATAGTTGCCCCAGCTTGGAAACACATGTCCATCAACAATAGGGTGGGGGTGGGGCATCGTGCAAAGTAATGCTCACAGCAAGGAAATGAACGAACGCAGCTCATTCACAGCAGGCAGCACGGGTGAATCCACAGACATAGTTTTGAATAAAAGAAACTGGATATGAAAAGTGTGCATAGCATGTGATTCTGTTTAAGTTTTCAATTGAGCAAAACTAATCTTTGATGTTAGAATCTGGGATGCTGGTTCCCTTCCACTAGGAAGTAGTGATTGGGAAGGAACCCGAAGAGTCTTCTGGGTGCTGTCATGATCTGTGTCTTGACCTGGATGCTGGTGGCATGGATGCATTGACTTTGTGGTAACTGAATAGCTGTACAATGTGTGCTTTTTGCATGTGTTTTTATATTTTAATTAAAACCTTAAAAAAAAATCTCTTCCTCAGCTAACATGTTTAAAACCCAGACAACAAGCGGGAAGCCTTACCTTCATTTCACGCTTTATTTCTTTTTAATTAATTAATTTATTTTATTTTATTTTTGGCTGCGTTGGGTCTTCGTTGCTGCACACGGACTTGCTCTAGTTGCGGCGAGTGGGGGCTACTGTTCGTTGCGGTGCGTGGGCTTCTCATCACGATGGCTCCTCTTGTTGCGGAGCACAGGCTCTAGGCACGCGGGCTTCAGTAGTTGTGGCACGTGGGCTCAGTAGCTGTGGCTCACGGGCTCTAGAGTGCAGCCTTGGTAGTTGTGGCTCATGGACTTAGTTGCTCCACGGCATGTGGGATCTTCCCAGACCAGGGCTCGAACCCATGTCCCCTGCATTGGCAGGTGGATTCTTAACCACTGTGCCACCAGCGGAGGCCACACTTTATTTCTTGAAGTGAGGGTTCTCTGTGTATGGGAAGGCCTTCTAAATCATTAAATGAAAATGAGTGTTGTGGTAATTGTTTTTTGGGGTTTTTTTTGGAAATCTGTTATATATTGAGTCCTTGAAAGAAGAGGTTGCTGCAGTTGATGATATCTCATTTCAAGGAAAAAATGTTATTGGGATTTCACCGTTTGGGCTAAAAAAGTGGTCAGAACTTGCTTTGCAATAATAGTGAAATTCTGCATCAAATTTATTTCTCATTTTTTAAGCACATTTGGAAACCAGCTTCTTTATTCCATGGCATTTCATTATAGATCTTTCCCTTCTTTATGCCACACAAGCCTCTTTTTCTTAATTGTTTTAAAAAATATATTTATTTATTTATTTTGGCTGCAGTGGTGTTAGTTGTGGCATGCGGACTTCTTAGTTGCGGCATGCGAACTCTTAGTTGCGGCATGTATGCAGGATTTAGTTCCCCGACCAGGGATCGAACCCAGGCCCCCTGCATTGGGAGCATGGAGTCTTACCCACTGGACTGCCAGGGAAGTCCCTCTTTTTCTTAATTTAATTGTAATGACACATATGTGTAGTGAATTGGCTTGTCAATTCTTAAATCGTAAAGAAAATACTTTTTGTCTGATATTTGATTCTTAAACATCAAAGAACTTGCTTGACTTTTACAACTGTTCATTTGCTACCCAAATGTGTTTTTTGTAAAGATAAAAAAACAACAGTGCCTTAATCTTTCCTCTTTGTTTGTGTGGTTTATCCAGTGCCGTCGGGACATTCGCCCGAGCCCTTGATTGCAGCAGTTCTGTACGGCAGCCTAGTTTGCATATGAGTGCAGCTGCAGCTTCTCGAGACATCACCTTGGTAAGATGCTTTTTGAAATTCGGGGGTTATTATTTCTTCTGCTACTTGTTTAATTTAAAAGCCAATATAGCAATGTTGTAGACGTGAGGACTTCCTGGCTCTAAGCTCTGCTGACCGTTAGGTTGATTCAGCTTGTCTGGTTGATTAACTGCAGTGTCTCACTCCTAAGTCACCCCTTGTGTTTGTGAGCTGGGACAAGTAAGAATGACTATCACAGAGTAGGTACAAAATGATAAAAAAATATTTTGGGGAAAACAATTCAATATTCTGATTCATCTGTTTTCACTTTGGTGCTTTTTTGCTATATTCCATCTACACCAAACTACATAAATAGTTGTAGCTCACACATAGTGCTCTACAGTTTTTTTAAGTGAAAGTAGCCATCTCTTGAAACCATTGCTATAGTTATTCTGTTATCATGCCATTAGTCAGTATTAAATATTTAAAGTTTTTTTTTTTGTCTGTTCATTAGAAAGAGGTTCTGTTTTCTTAAATTATTTCATTGTATTATGGTTGCTATCTTTTAAGGCTATTTCCTTTCTTCCCTTGGTGATCAAATGAGGCTTCCCACGTTCAGCTTAATTATACCACTGATGCCTGCTGTGGCTGGGCATCGGGCTTGGCACTTGCTTCCTTCTCTGCACCCTCCAGCAAAGCAGACATGCATGTTTTTGCCTGTTGAAGTTCCTTAACTGTATTGATTGCCACTCCCTCTGAGATAGGCATGGTAGGATGCTCATTTTACAAATGAGGAAACTGATGTATGGCAAGGTTAAGTTGTTTGATATTCATTACACGTAATAAAAGTTAGCATTTTGTTTTCTGATGGAATGGAATACAATGATAGGTTTTATTACTTTCTCATTATATTCCAATTTGAAATGTTTTCCACAGAATATTTATCATGACAGTGTAAAAACTTGTAGTAGAATGCACAACAAATTTGTTTCTTATAATTCTTTCTTGTATTTTTGTACAGTTATAGATGATGATGAAAGCATTAATAGTCTATAGCCTTTAAGGAACCCTTTTCTCTATCCTTTCTCAAAGACTAGAATGTTGTTTATAGAAACAAGTTTTGTTCTCTCCGTTGGTACATTAAAATTTTATGAAAGTTTAGGGATTTCAAAATAGGTTTGTATTTTGGTTGTTTAGCACTTTTAGAGTGTTTTTTTTGAAGATGCAAGAGTACACGTGTCACTTTGTAACAACCTTAAATCCTGTCAACAGATACTTATGTGAACCAGAACTACATGGAATCTAATCACTACCTGTTTAAAAAATTTTTTTCCAATTCTAAAATTAGTGTATTCTTATACACTAAGAATTTAAAAAGTAAAGTACAGCAGCAGCCAAAAAAAAAAAGTTTTGTCCTCATCACCCAGAGTAGAATATTCTTACCATTTTATGTTTCCTTTCAGCCACTTTTTGTGCATTGCAAATAATATACTAGCAAATTACAGAATAGTACAGAAGATGATATAATAAAATAGTATGCAATGCCACCTAAAGCAGATGTTAACATTTTAGTTCTTTGGATTAAACAGATTTTCAACCACTATATATATATATATATATATTTTTTTTTTTCTTTGTGGTACGCGGGCCTCTCACTGTTGTGGCCTCTCCTGTTGCGCAGCACAGGCTCCGGACGCGCAGGCTCAGTGGCCATGGTTCACGGGCCCAGCTGCTCCGTGGCATGTGGGATCTTCCCGGACCGGGGCACAAACCCATGTCCCCTGCATCGGCAGGCGGATTCTCAACCACTGCGCCACTAGGGAAGCCCCCAACCACTATATTAATGATGAAATCCCTAATATTCTCTCCCTAATCCTATTCCCCATCCTCCATCTGTACCCCTGGCCCTGATCATCCCTGTCTCCTGACAAGAGGCAGCTACTATATCAAATCTGCTGTGTATCTAGTCTGTGTTTTTCTAGTTTTACTATGTATTGTTATTTCCAAAAACAACATGAACATTGTTTTACATGTGTTTAAATCTACTTTGTAACATTTTGCTATTTGCTTATTAGTGAGATGTAGCCATGTTAATAAATATGTACCTCTTTCACTCATTTTTAACTCCTTGGTAGTATTTGTAGTATTCTTTCACAAAATACTACACCACATTATTCTCTTACCAATGAACATCTGGAGTGCTTTAAAAACATTTTCCTTTGCTATTACCCATAATGCTGGAGTGGAAATTCTAACACATGTCCTTTCTGATCATGTGTGCGAGCTTTCTAGGCTGTAACTAGAATTGGAATAATTATTTGTAGGGTGGTGCTCATTTTCAGTTTGACCACGTGTTGCCAAATTATTCTGTTATATACCATACTAGAAATTTATAATCCCACAAGCAGTTAATGACTTTTTCTTTCTGCATCTATTTTCTTACATTGTCTTCAACACTTGGACACTTGGTATGTTCAGACTAAAATTTTTCACTAACCTGATGCTGCCTCATTTTAATTTGTATTTCCCTGATTACTTAATGAGGCTAAGCATATTTTCATATTGGCTCTTCAGATTTTTTCGTCTTTGTAGTTTAGATTCATGTATCCTTTGTCCATTCTTCACTTACATTATTATTCTATTTTTGTCTAATAGTTTTAAAGTTTTATTCATATTTCAGACTGTAAATATATCTGGACTTTATTTTTAAGAATGGAGTGAGGTAGGGGTCTAATTTTGTTTTTCTCCATATGGAAAATTAATTATTCCAGCACCTTTTATTGAATTTGTTGTTTCCTCATGATTTTGTAATGCCCCTTCTATCTTATTTCATGGTCCTAGATATGCTTAGGATTCTTAATCTATTCTCTTCTGTTTCATTGATCTGTTTGTCCCTGTGAAAGCACCACAGTATAATAAATTCCGATAGCTGGTAAGACAAGTTCCACGTCACTTTATTTTTAATATATAGTTGAAGTTATTTAAAATAGAGTTTTATATTTTGTCTCCCCTCTACCCCATGTTTTTCCTAACAGTATAACATAAACACTCTTTCATATAAGAATCTGCAAAGTTTTTTTCTAATGTTGCATGATCTTGCCTTGTATATACTGTTACTTATGTAGCCAGTGTCTTGTGACTTAACACTGTTCTTAAGAGATAATGCTTCCCAGATTATAAAGGGGGGTGCTATCTCTGTTGTAGTCCAGCAAATTCCCTCTACACTGAGGAGGTAGAGTGCAAAGCCTGTTCCTGAGATGGGATAGAGCTCTTGTGACAATTGGGGCTGGGATTTGCCTGAAGATGGGTCTGAGAGGTGAAGAGCAGGTGTGTTTGCTCTTGGTTCACAGCTGCAGCGACTCTCTGCTTCCCACTGCTGGTGACTGCTGGGACGGCGGATGGATTTCTTTTGGAAGAGGGCAGAGTCTTCAAGAAGCAGTGTTTGTTTTTGTTAGTGAAGGCCATTATAAAAGAAAAGTGTTTGTTTTTGTTAGTGAAGGCCATTATAAAAGAAACTTTTTTTTTTTTTTTTTCCGGTATGAGGGTCTCTCACTGTTGTGACCTCTCCCGTTGCGGAGCACAGGCTCCAGACGCGCAGGCTCAGCGGCCATGACTCACGGGCCCAGCCGCTCCGCGGCATGTGGGATCTTCCCGGACTGGGGCACGAACCCGTGTCCCCTGCATTGGCAGGCGGACTCTCAACCACTGCGCCACCAGGGAAGCCCTGAAAGAAACATTTTAAAGGGCATACAACCTTTATACCTTAATTGGTTTAAATATCATTTTGTGTGTGTTGTTTGTAATACTTGCCTATTATGCTCCTTCTAGTACTTTCACACCCTCCAGTGTTTCCGTCTCTTCTGTTTTAGTTCCTTTAGTACTTAGCAATTTGGAGTCACTTTTTAATTACATTATCTTAAATTATTTACTATATTATAAATTTTTTAAGCCAAAATATACTCAGGTTTAGGAAATTTTGTTTTGTCTTGTTTGTACACCTGGTTTCAGAGATAGGATTTGGATCTTAACTCCTGCTGAGGAGTTTTCTCCACTAGATTACCTCTTCTGTTTTATTCTTGTTAAAATGGCTTGGGTTTAAGTATCATTGTTGTCTGTCTTGGATCAGGCAGCATTGAAGATTTGTTTTTTTAATTTATTTTTGTTTTTTAACTATTTATTTGTTTATTTATTTATTTACTTTGGTTGTGCTGGGTCTTAGTTGAGGCATGTGGGATCTTTAGTTGTGGCATGCAGGCTTCTTAGTTGCAGCATGTCACATGAGAACTCTTAGTTGCGGCATGCATGTGGGATCTAGTTCCCCAACCAGGGATTGAACCCGGTCCCCCTGCATTGGGAGCACAGAGTCTTACCCACCAGACCACCAGGGAAGTCCCTTATTCTTTTTTTTTTTAATTTAATTTTTTTTTTTATACAGCAGGTTCTTTTTAGTCATCCATTTTATACACATCAGTGTATACATGTCAATCCCAATCGCCCAATTCATCACACCACCATCCCCAGCCCCCCCTTGACTTTCCCCCCTTGGTGTCCACACATTTGTTCTCTACATTTGTGTCTCTATTTCTGCCTGGCAAACCACTTCATCTGCATCATTTTTCTAGATTCCACATATATGTGTTAATATACGGTATTTGTTTTCCTTTTTATGATGTACCTCACTCTGTATGACAGTCTCTAGATCCATCCACGTCTCTACAAATGACCCAGTTTCGTTCCTTTTTATGGCTGAGTAATGTTCCATTGTATATATGTACCACAACTTCTTTATCCATTTGTCTGTCAGTGGGCATTTAGGTTGCTTCCATGACCCGGCTATTCTAAATAGTGCTGGAATGAACATTGGGGTGCAGGTGTCTTTTTGAATTATGGTTTTCTCTGGGTATATGCCCAGTAATGGGATTGGTGGATCATATGGTAATTCTATTTTTAGTTTTTGAAGGAACCTCCATACTGTTCTCCATAGCGGCTGTATCAATTTACATTCCCACCAATAGTGCAAGAGAGTTCCCTTTTCTCCACAC